GTTGTAACGTCGATTTTCCCCAACAACGACTTTCTGGTGAATACGCTGGAAGCCTGTCTTGCTGGCAGAGCCATCAACGGGTAGATCCATGAGAGACGAGGTGACAAGTTCCTTGTGGTAAGCTCGAGTAGACGGCCGAACGTTGCGGCTGGGCTCAGGAGCGTGGCAATGGTGATAATTAAGATAACCGGGTCGCGAACAGGTCCACCAGAAGAGTACAGAATGAAGGGGTAAATTTCTCCTAAAAAGCTTGCGATTATGAGATTTTTAGGACTTGTATTAATTACTATTCCTTATGAAGTACACGAGGCCGTCCACATTCATAGTAAATTTATGAGCCCTATAGGAGACCCGTAGCAGACCCGTTTCTGCTACTGTTTCCCGCTAATGTCCCTGATGATGAATCCGCGACGAATGTCGAAACGGCAGGCGATTTAAAGTATTGTCCCAGCGATCGAGTGGTCTTCTTCTCAATTACTTCCTAGACTCGCATGTTCGCTTGTGTTGGCAACTATCTACATTATGCTTAATGCTAGTCAGCATTGCGACCCCACCTATGTCATCCTTTAGAACCTCTAAGCGGGCTGTCTGGTAGATGCTCTGGACTAAGACATGGGCCAGTCCAGGGCGCGGCAGACGTTATTAGGTTTGCGTTCTGATAAAAAAGATGCCGAACCTAGGGTAGGGGGAGGGGTGCCGACTCACACTGTACCATCCACCTTCTCCCGATCAAGTCTCCGGTTCTCTGGACTCTATCTTAACACCAGGCACAGGTGGATGAGGGGAGAGAGCGTGCGATAAATGCTGTGCAAGTCTACTATCATTTTAATTCAATTCACGCGCAAATCACCGTCCCTGCAACAATTATCCTGTCGAGCGCATGTTGGACCTTGTCGGAAGCAACGGATAATTTGTTGGCGTGGTTGGTAAAATGCCATGTAATGCTGCCGGCGCTAGTTTTTTTCTTATGTAGGAGTTTTTCACAATTGGGTCAAGTAAAAATAAGCAAGTCTGTCAAACCTCCTAAATAGTTAAGCCAGCCCAGAAGTCACTCTGGTGGATTTTAGATGATTGCTTAGGAAATCCTGCTTGGGCAGTCAGCTTTCTGGTAGATGTTCAGTAATCGATGAACGGGGAGTTCTGTTTTATTGTTCCAGTAATCAGCTAGATATGTACTCCTTGGCTCTGGCGGCCAGTTGCCGTTGCGAACGCCCTTTGTACTTGCATCCGCTCTCAGCTCCCGCGCGCTCAGCAGACGGAACCAATCATTCGGACAGTGATGTACTTTTCGTCGTTAATGACCAAATTGCCCGCACCAGTCTAAAATGGCGTTATTTAGTTCCTTCTCCCTAAACCGCCCACCGGTTCGCTCAGACGCCGGATGCTACTCTCTCAGCCTACTCGCAAAGGCAGACCAGCACTTTACGGGCCGTGACTAGCATGAAGCATATTTTTCAGCGATGCAGGGAGGTTGCCTGTTGAAGGAGCATTTATCTGACCGTCTGCTGCCCACAACGTTTTGACTTTCTTTATTGGCTAGCCTCTTTGCTATTTCCTTGCTGTTTATATCGATTTTTCTGTATGAATTCTATTTATATTTCTTTTTACGTTATTCACGTTGTGTAATGAAAGGAAGCAATTGATGAGCACTCTCGAAATTAATGGATCCAGTAAATTTTGCCGTTTACCTAATCTCCAAAATTCATTAAGAATTTACTAGTCACTGACTAGCCCGTCAATAAGTGACCTTCTGATTTTTTTTATTTCTGTGGCTTTGCAATCAATGCCATCAAACCGACTCGTCTTTGTTTTAATTAACTGCATTCCCGGCGATGCGAAAACCAAAAAAATACACCGATATCCCCGAACGCCGATCATGAAATGCAAATCCGGGCACTACGCACTTGATATTTTAGCGAATTTTTATAAAAGGCTAGCTGTTGGAAGGTATTTATTGAAAATTTCTGTTAAAATATACTTATTTACGTAGATGCGCGCATGGACTTTTATTTACTCAGATAATAACACACACACACAGGCTTTACATCCCTTAAAAACTCAAGTTTATTAATGTGGCACAATTTTATGTCGCTTTTGGTATTTTCATCATTCAAGAAAATGCTATTTTCAAACAGAATACTATAACTTAAACATATTTTGGGTGCTACTTTTACCTAGAGTGGAATTTTAAGTTTTTATCGAAGCATTTCACTCAGCTTACGTATGATGTATCGTAAATTGAAACACATTTCGTATGATAGGTCCCAAGTTGCAGTAATTTTGGCGAGCTTGTTGCATCTTTTTACCAAGTCCCCACCTGCTTCCGACAGTTCGTCTGATTATTGCCGTGACAGTGTCTTGATTTAGGGGAGGGGGGAGGTATGATATTTGCTTCAGAGGGTGCATTTCAATTACCGATAGTGAGATCTGCAAAAATTTTCATTTAATTTTCCTTTTACTATTAAAAAGTCGTATTCGCATGCATGCAGGTCGTAAGTCCATTATGCACGAGACGAGGGAACAACAAAGTGACTAATTCCGGCCCCCTCCCTACCAAAAGAACTAAATGAACATTGTGCATAACTGTCCGTTTTACTCTCTATGTTGTCCTCCATATCATTTTGAAGGCGTGATGATGAATAATCGAGAACAGCTGTTTGCCAATAGTGAGGTCTGTTTAGTTTGCATGAACACAGTCAGCATTTTTGCCCATTCTATCTTGCCTGTCTGCAGTAGTTCAAACCCATCTGCCCACTGAGATCTTACCGATTCTTAGTGCGCGTAAGTTGACTGTGTAGGACTTAGCCTTGTGATACTTATTCTCAACATCGCTACGAGGAAACGCTCAGTTTACGCGAACGTTTTTATCGATTAGTTACAACATTCGCCTTCTCAAAATTCGATTTTTGCGCTTTCCTTCTGGGTCGTTTTAAAGCAATTTTGCTGTCCACTGCTTGAGTGCCCTGCCACAGCAGTTTGTATCCGTCTTTTACCCCCGAGTATAAGTGAGAAGGACCGTTTTCTGTGAGTAAACTCAGTTGAAATTTTTTTCCCATCCACAGGTTGACTCGGAGAACATACCCTCGCGCATTCTCTTCGTCCTGGTGGACGAGGTCTTTGGGTTGCAGAAGAAGAACACCATCTTCCGACGTGGAATACTCGCCATTCTGCATAACATTGTGCAGACCTTTTTCGGCGATATTGTCAACCGTAAAATCATTGATAAAGTAGGTCTGTGGATTTGTTTTTGCTGCTCATTTTTTGTTTATGCTTTTCCTCTTATGTTCTTACAGACAGCCGTAGCTGCTTATCAAGCGAAGAGCTACAATAAATATTTACTTAAATTTCTTAATGGAATGCTTTAGGAAAACTGCACCTAGCTAAATCACGGCTGGATCCAGAGTTATATAGCACTCGTTACCTGATGGTTGCTTCGTGGTTCTACAAATTTAAATTTAATCTCCAGGTTCACTCTACACTGCCTTTGCTATTCTTCAGGCTAATTTCCTCATCAGTGCCGGACAGATGGCCACCTACGCGGCCATGCTGCGTGATGTGCTCTGGCCGAACCCCGCGGACGCGTCAGCCAACGTTCGAGACGCCGCCACGAAGCTGAGAACTCGTGTGCTCTGCCGTACCGCCATGCTTGGCAGTGTTTCAGGTGTCTGCTCCTCCGTTTTTCCTCCCCTTTTTGACTCCCCTCTCTCCCCCTACGTCTTCCTTCTCTGTTCTCCATTTA